GCAGACACCTTATCCTGATGAAAAAAACCACTCGTAATTTATCTGGGGTTTACAGCAGCGGCCTCCTTTGAGAAAGTCACCTTTGCCTGTTCGTGGAGGATGGAGAAAAATTATACGCCCCTGCGAAAGAGGCAAAATTAGTAATGGGAAAACCTTGGTATTGCAAGTGCCATATTTGGCAAATTTGGTGTGGTGTGTATCTTATTTTGTTTCCTGAAATCGCGTCCGCTTACGTACATGCCCGGAAACGTAATCAAGTCCTTACTCCAGCAACTCCCCAAGACGAGACTCAAACTGTTAAAGCCCTAAACCCTAAACCCTAAACCGTGTGGAGACAACCCTCCCCCTAAGCCCTAAGCCTAAACCCAACGCACTAAGCCCGGAGCCCTCAATTCTAAGAAGGAAACTCCAAACTCTACAGTAGCTTCCATTTTCTTTTCCACCATACAAAATCCCCATCTTCCAAAATACATCCCCATATATCCCATATATATATATGTATATACATATTGGGGATATCCCTATACATCCCCTATACATCCCTACATATCCCTATATATCCCTATCCACCCCAAACCCTGAGCCCATCCTGGGATCTGGTTCTCCGCATCTCCTTTTGTTCCTCATCGGCTTGCCCATCTGGATAGGAGCCATGGTCACCTGAGGGTTGAGGGATGAGGGTTTTGCGGGTTTGAAGTATATATTGGGGTTATTAGGGGTTATATCAGGGAGGGATAATGGAAAAGAAAATGGAAACTACTATATAGTATATTGGGGTTATTAAAGAATACATCCTTCTGGCAATGCTGCAACTGCTGCTACAATCACCTGCAGCTTATTCTGACCGTCTTCAGAGGGGCCGCGCATCCCTTCCTTTCTTGTGCTACTCCATGAGCAAGATTCTCTAAGGGTTTGGAGGTCACACAAGGATGATCCGGGAGGTCCTAAATTGCAATACCTCTATCCGGGGATGGTTTGTTTGTCTTGATGCGACTTTTCTTTTCAGTGGTCATCCCTTTGTTTCGGGAACCCAAAACCCCAAACCCTAAACATTTGGAGAGAGGGCCGCCTTGGTCAACGCGCCTGGGCCCTGTACATTCTTCCTGCTGAGGTTTTGTTCTGCTTTCTTGTAGGGTAGGACATCTGAAGCCAAGGTTGACTAGGGGTTTGGGTCCTGTTAACATGTTTGGTCTCAGAATTTAGGCCATAGAGTTTTTTCTTGAAAACTTGTGACAAGAGCGGAGGTCTGTGGAGGTCGGTCTCAAGTAAACGGTTTGGATTTAAACCTTATACCCTAAATAGCTGTTTCCATTTTCTTTTCCATTATCCCAATACGAACCCTATATTACCTATATCATCCCAATATTACGTATCCTCCCCCCATCGATTGCGGTACCTGCCACGGCCCTCAGTTGTCTGGGGAGTTGACCCTTGCCGTGCAGGTAAGGATCCGACCCGTTTGAGGAAGGGTACCATCTCTCAGAACCCTTCGAAATCCCGTCAACCTCTTCCGCGTCTTATCCATGATTTCTTGGGTCTCAGCTACCGGTTTGTTCTTACAATTTCCGCAGACTGGTGAAGAAGTACCAAGGAGCTTGTTCAAGGCAAAATGGCTTGCACGCCAGTATGCATTCAAAAAGTAATAAACAAGCTGAAACAACGCTGAGGCTTCGACTGCTCGATAATTCGTCGAGGATGTCCAAGTGTGCCAACAGGCAGAAACGCCTGCTCAACAGGAGTCGAGTAACATGATTGTCTCAACTACAATATGGATGGGCGAGATTCTGCGTTTTCTGGAAAGCTGACTAAATCTTGACATATCGTGATTCAAACCTGCACCCCCTGCAGAACAAGAAAAAACAGTCAAAGAAGCAGCGTTGCCTAAAGAGTCGTTGGGGCCAGTGCACTATTATACACATTTGCACACACTAGTCCTGGAGTTAGCACTGCTGCCAGAACACTCGCTGAGCTCGATTCTCGCTTGGTCCTCCTCCGTGTGCAATTCCAGCGTCTCTTTCCTCAGCAGCAACTGGGGGATTCCCAAAATTATGGATACTTTTAAGGGGTCACAATATTAAGGATGATAATATTTTGGGTCGATATTGGGGTTCCCCTGTTTTGGGTAGCTACCAATCGGGCAATCCCAATCGAGGATGAAGCTGCAAAGGCAAGGAAAGTCGCAGCAGAAGTGTTCCCTGGTCTCGGGAATGAAGGAAAACTAAAGGTTTGAGAGTACCCCACACCTTACAACCTGACAACTACCTGGTCAGCAAGGTATACAGGCGTGGGACGGGATGGCACATGCCAGGGCAATTTCCAATTTTGGTGATGGAAACTGTTGGCCCATATGCGAGGCCGAGGAGGGTAGAGACTACTTGAGTAGCGTAGTTTTTGGTGGTAAAACCCAGTAAGATTATATTCCTCATATAAAGTACTATACCCCCAAAGGAGGATATCATCTTACTCTATAATGGGTACCATAGTATCCCCAAATAAAATACTACTCACTTGGATTCGTCCTTAGACTGCTTGATTAGTTTTCGGGCATGCCTGCAAACTGCCTGGAGCTGACGTGAAAAGGAATTCAGGACGATGCTGTTGGTGATCATTGCCTGTAAGCGCCTATCAAAGCCCCTATCTAACAGTCAGTTTCCACTTCACTTCACATTTGCTCGTGTCCACTATTGCCCCATAATCCGTTCTTCCCACTTCTCCCTAGACACTTCTATAGCCCCGTTTGTTGTATTGGCCTTGCAGCTAGGGTGCTGAGGGCAGGCCCCACGCTTTTGCTGAAGACGCCTGCGGAGACTTGGTCTTGGTGCTGAACGTCCAACATGGGGGTTTCCAGAGATCAGGGGTGGTTTAGGGCTTCGAGTTTTTGGGTTCAGGACTTCCCAAAATTAGTGGTGCCCTTTTGGGGGTCCCCACAATAAGGGCTATAATCTTGGGCGGGTCTATATGGGGGTCCTCCAAATTTTGCAAACTGTGCGGTCAGATGGTTCTTGTTGTCATAACTATTCTTATTGCTATGATGCCTGTTGCTACTACTGATGCAGGAAATCTTGTATCATTGAAGGGAGAGCCCAAAACTAGTGTAAGTTCTGGGGTATAGGGTACGAAAGTGGGTGCAAGATTTGGTAGTTTCCCAAAATAAGGGGAACCCAATATGGACCCAAAAATACTATAGTCCCTTATTATTGGGAACCCCAAAATGGTACTCCTAATGTTGGGAAACCTTAAACCCTAAATAGTAGCTTCCGTTTTCTTTTGCATTATCCCTATATAACCCCTACATACCCCCTAAATACCCATATAAGGTACCTAAACCCTAAACCCTAAACCCCCCCATTTCCTCCATCCCCAATGTGTGTCTGGATCTGGGCCCTGGGCGTCAAGAGGAGCTTTCGTAGCCAGTCGCCGGCTTTTTCGGAGGCCTCGTGTGGAAGCTCTCAGAGATACGGTTGATGGAACCACCTAGGGCCCCTAAACTACTGGAATTCCTAAGGTTTGGGGGACTTAAGGTGGTGCAAGATTTCCTCCATCAACAGTAGGATAGCGGCAGCGCAGTGGAAGTGGTTAGGAAGAAGCAAGAATCCATGACTACATGAGCTATAGTCTAAACTCCTCATATGCCCTTTAGTAAGCCCCATAGTAGTACCCCATATAATCCCCCTTTAAGGAGTTTAGCCTATAGCTCACATGGAAGAACTGGAATGAAACAGCAGCAGGAGGGAAGCCGCAAGTTGAGGAGCAACTGTACCTGTTGAGTTCACAGCCTGCTGTGGAATCCAACTCTGACCCCTCATGTTCGACCTGGGTTGCTGTAAAGGAACTCAAATCAAGTTACTATAATTATTCGGGAAACCCTGTTCATGTGCGACCCTTAGATGTGGCTGCCAGATATATCACTGGAGGTTTGCCCTGATGCTTTGGATAGGTAGACCTGGAGGCCCACCCTGCAAATGAGCATGCGCACACGCACGATACCCACGCAAGAAGAGCACCCTTCATCTGCGAAGCTTCTGGTATCCTGGGAAAATCGTGCTTTCAGGTGCTTCTAGGATTATTGTAAGCAGCGAGGTAATAACTTCCTGTAAGCGGCAAGGCCTGCAGCATCGCAGCCAACTCATCTGTCACGCGGGTGCTGTCCAAATGAAGGTTCGGAAGCCCCTGACACTGATTTGCGCTGTTTTCGGCTTGCTGCTTCAAATTACCAGAATTGAAGATCCTCTTTTGGGAAAGAGATTGTAGCAACTGAAGAGCATCGGGAGATATCTAGAAAGAATCTGACAGTAAGTAAAAGGAATGGACTTAGGTCATCTCACGCCTGCTCCAAAATAACGTCAACACAATCGCTATGCAACATGCCCAGATCAGTTCTGGTCGAAAGAAACGCTTGGCACGAGGGTGAATGTGGTTGTACTTGCAGCTAGAGCTTGAGGAAGCGAACAGGGGCAGCACAATGCTTTGCATTGGATGATAAGGTCCACGGGACTACAGGCATTGGGACTTAGCAGGCTTAGAGCTTTGCAGGCTTCAGTGTCCTCCAATCCATTTGTCACTGGGGTAGTTTACGACAATGGAAGGCACAATGAATTTCAAAGAACTTCCACCCTTGGCTGTTTTCGTTTTGGAGGACATCTGTCGGCGACCTCCGCGTTCTAGAGTGCCGCTTTTTAATGCGGCCAACTGGTTTTTCCACATCCCCAAGACGAAGCCTGACAAGCTTGGCAATGGTGTTCCTCTACACCTCTATTACTATCACTATTACTATTACTATTACTATTACTATTACGATTACAATTACTATTACTATTACTATCACTATTACTATTACCTTGCTAACCTCAACTCAATCAAAGCGTCAGCTGCAACAGTCCTAGACCCCCTGAAAAGTAGCCTTCATCTAGTCTCAGCGTACTACACAGCCACAACCTACCCTAAACCCTCAACCTTGACTTAACCATATTGGAACCCAACTAACGAGTCTCCCCAAGTGCCTCCAGCTCCTCCGCGGCATCCGACGCCTCAATTCGGACTTGGCGGTTGATTTCAGTTCAGGGTGTAGATTTGAACGGTTTAGGTTTCAGGGTGCGTTCCAAGGAGCTTAATGTCTACAATATCGGCACCACCAAATCAGACAAGGATTCTCGATTTTGATGAGAACTTCGAGGCTTGATAACATCTTGCGTTTGTGGACTTAAATGCCAGAGATATTTGGTTGTCCCTCCTGGGGCCCGAAGGACTGGATAACCAGTTTGCAGTGGGGCTTCAGGGTTAAATGGAGGCTCCATAGGCGTTATATAGGGTTTAGGGGTTTGGGTCGACTGGGTGTTGGGGGTTTAGGGAATAATCCGATGGACATACGGGCAATGGGGCACTATGATTCTGACAAAGTGCAGAGAAAATGTCCAGAGAGCTCCGACTCTGTGGGTAAGGTTGCTCCCCTGAAGCAAACCCTGGGCTATACATCGTTCCAATAGCCTAAACCTGTACCCATAATCCTTCAACCCAGGGCCCCATAACTCTAGGGTAACCTGAAACCCTAAGAGAATCCTGAAAAAATCTGCCCTCAACCCAAATCCACAAACCCTGTAACCCTACAATCCAGTTTCGATTTTTTTCCATGTGCTCTTTTCCATTTGCTTACCCTCTATGGGTACCCTATACGCTCATGCATACCAAGAGACCTCGCTGAGCTCCTGCTGTGAGAAGGTGCAAGTCCACATGGGCTCAGACCTGCAGAATGCGCTCAGTAAACAAGCGGTATAAGCTTTCTGTCGTAGTGGACCTTGGAGTATCAGGTCTTGGTGTTTAAGGTTCGGGGGCTTCCAGAATTTAGGTTCACGCGGTTTTGCAGTTTGAGGGTTTAGGGGTTGTAAGTTCAAGGATCCGAGCAAGGCGGGGGTTCAGCCTCTCGAACATGCAAGTCTTAGTGATGAGAGACATCGTCTACTGGGTTGCGTACCCAATTTCTCTGGCCTTACTGGAAATTAAGGATCACTCATACAGCGGTTCATCACATACTGGAGTCCACATCGCCCCCCCACCCCCCCGATCAGCGTTTACCCCACAATCTGAATGCATACTTCTTGCCATCGGAACCCTGGAGAATGACCGCTTATCGTGAGAAACTCATATATGCACATATATGTAGAGCGCTTCCGATCACTGACACACTGCTGCGCCAAAAAGTGGATCCAACACAGAATTCATTGACTTACCCGTACGATGTCCCATAATCAGCAATGCTGCTCTTACATGCACTGTCATTGCTGTCTGTCATGGCCACTGCGAATATGACCTCCTGATCTTGGCACATTCCCAGGCCAGATTCGCTTGCCGCGCCTGAAGGGAAGTGTGAAGCCGTAGGTGCGCCAGAGCAGCGGATTCGAAAGGCAGCCGTAGGAAAGCAGAACCTCGTCGCCTGCGTGAAGCTTTCCAGCCACTTCGGGCAGGCTGGAAATGACTGGCAACTCATGGCAACTCTATTGTATGACAAGGTCTTTTATCGCATTCTGCTGAGGGAGTCTAGCATTTGCATGTGCCTGCTATGATTCTTACAACAATGGGGCAGTGCCACAACCTCTTTCTCTGAACGCTTCGTACTCAGGCCAGCTCCTTTGCTCAAGTCCGCGAGGGCGCGCACCTCCACAGACCCGGATTCCTGGGAAGCGCAGTGTCTTTTTGTGGACCCCCGCCTTTGGACAAAACAACAGCCTGCTGAAGGAGCAGATGTTCTTCTAGGGTTAGGTGAGAAAACAGTTCTTTGAAATTCCGTCCTCGTCCCAATCACTGGATGCGTTTGGCGCTGCAGCATGGTTCAAGAAGTCCACGCCTCTCGCACTGGCATGCAAAGATAAAATGAGATGTTCCGCAGCGAAGGTAGCAACAGTAAGTACAACTGGACAGATACCACATTACATGCCTGTAAATACTTGGGGTTTGTAGGGAATAAGGGCATAAAATCCCTGTATAACCCCTATGTAATATACTTTCCTATTCCCTACTAACCCTAAACCCTATAGCGATTTCTATCTATATCTATATATAGAGATGTAGAAAACACATTGCCTTGTTCCCTAGTAACCCCCGAAAGGTAAATACTCGCATGTTGGGCAACCGTTCTTGGGGCCGCGTGAGGCCTGAAGCCTTCGACCCTACGCTTCCCAAAAGCAAGTCCGGGCTGCCCCGGATTATTCTTCTTATTGTAAATGCGACTATATTACTTAGTACGACTATTTATACAACTAATATTAATGCTCTATTATTCCTAGTATTTATACGATGAGTATTCCTAATAGTGTTATTGCTAGTATTCCTAATAGTGTTATTGCTAATAAGACTATTGCTAGTACTATTATTGTTATTACTATAGCTACTCCTGCACTTGCCCACCGCCCTGACTACTCTCATCACTACCATGGCCACTATCCCGCAAAACTCGACAAAAAGAACGCACGACTGCCTGGAACCAGCGCTGAGCCATCTGGGCCCCCAAACCGCCGCGTCAGCAGGCAGAGCCAAGAGAGCATGAAGAGGCCTCTGCAGCTCTGCTGCTAAGCAGAATATGGGCCGTGAAAACACAAGTCAAGAATAAAAATCATGGAATATGATGATCATGATGATGATGAGGGTGATGATAATAATAATAATGATGATGATGATGATGATGACCGCGAGTGTCAAACAACCGCAGTTGAGATTAGAAGAACTGCAGGCATGCGGGGGGAGCCTCAAGTCAAGTGGCGAGTGGCTTAGTGGCATTCTATGAAGTTTCATTGGGAGTTAGGGCTGTTGAATCTCAGACTTGCCAAATGTGACTCACAGACATGCACTCCTAATACGTTACATATCACTTCTAGGGAAGCATTGTCACGACAGCGGCGAACTGCCTTCGTCCAGGTCCGGAGGGAGAAGAGCTGGACTCACGGTATCACAGATGCAGCCATAAACGGTCCTGAAGCCAAGATTACCATCTTCATCATGGTTATCATAGTTTCATGTTGATTGCATTCATGCTGCAAATCATTTGGTACCTTTTTTACCTCATCATAGCTAGCAGAACTAAAGTTTGCAACTTGCGTTGCTCTCGTTATAGCTGCCCTTGCCTCGCATGACTCCTGTTGGGAGCCTTCGCTTGTCACATGCAGTCCTACAGTAGGGGGGATCCATGGGGGAGGGGGGGGCCGGTTAGCACCTCCATGTCATGTGCTCTTATGGAGTTGTGTGTCAGTAGCGCTTTAGGTAGGCAGCCCCGCATCCGGCTCCCGTCCACCCGTCATCTCTGAGACCACAAGCCCCCCAAACACTCAGACCAAATCCCAATTCGGAGGTTCCCCCAAATTGCGGGGGTACCTTTTTGGGGGTCCCCATAACAAGGATTATGGTATTTTGGGTCCTATAGTGGGGTCCCCCTACTTAGGGAAATTACCACATAGAGGTTTAGGGTTTAGAATGAGGTGACAGCGTCGGATGTTACCAGTCCTCACATACTTCGCTTGTGCCGCCATCAGTTCCTGAGCTCCGCGTGAGATGCGGAGAGGCTATGGTAGTAAGGTACCCATTATACTATAGTAGTTTCTATGTTCTGTTCCATTATTCCCTATATAATAACCCCAATATAACCCTTATAGAACCCCAATAAGTACCCTATTAGAATATAGTAGTTTCCATGCTCTTTTCCATTAATTTCAGGAAACCCCCAGCTACGGCCCTTCTCTCAGAGCCAGAAGCTGAAGCCATGTCCTCAAAATACCTGCGGTTTCCTAAAATGAGGGGTACCTCAAAAAGGGGGATGTAGGGAACAAAGAGTTTAGGATTTAGGGTTTCCTAAAATTGTGGAGTACTTTAAAAAGGGGGATATAAGGGTTATATAGGGGTTAGATTAGGAAAGGGATGGCTCGATGACCCAGGGTTGATCCTGGCTCGCGGCGCATATCTCACATGATACCAAGAATCTGAATGAACTTGAAAAGCAATTCGTGAAAGGGCTGTTTAGATATGAGGGAAAGGAACCATTTCTCCAAAATTCCAGACCAAACCCTGAACCTCAAACCCCAACATGCGTTGACACGATGCGGGCTCCGCCGAAGAAGAGTCGCGCAGTGGGCGGCCCTGCCAGGCGGCGGCGTAGGGGTGGTGATCCTCGAAGTCCTGAAGGAAAGCATTGACGTGTCAACGAATGCCCCCGAGAATCTAGATCCCTAAGCCAGCTCGCAAGATTGGACTTTTTGTGTTGTGGGTGTCGGATGAACGGTTCCCAGTCCAGAGCTTTGGATTGAGGGGCTTATGGCCACGAGCCAGCAGCAACTCGCCAAACAGGATAGCATCAGTCCTGACCCAACCCCAAGAGGACGGCGGCTAGCGCCTGCCAAACAGGTTGCCACTGGACTGTGGTCGCCGCACTCGCCTGGAGAAGAGCCATTTTTGTGAGTATGACTATTATTACTATTACTATTATTTCATTTTCTATTATTGTTATTACTATTACTACTAATATTACTATCATTATTATTACTATTATTATGTTTGGGAAGTGTAGGGCTTAGGGTTGTTGGATGTGGATACTCTCATCAGCATGTTTTGGACAGATGGGGGAAGCTTTTGTGCAGCTGGGCATCTCCTTCCGGATTCTCTCCTTCAGGCTTTCTTCTGTGAGAGGAGAGCAGCAGCGCCATACCTGGGAAAGCAGCCATGCAGCACCCTTTGAAAACTAGAACTGAGAACATCCTTTGGCATTGAGTTGCACACAAGGTTTGGAGTTTCACAGAAGTTGCTGAAGGAGATCCTTTGCAGTCGTGTACGCAATGACCTTCTGGTTCAGAGTAGCGCCTCCCAATTAGGAAACGGAAGCCAGTGATCTCAGTGATCCCGACCTTGGCAGCCTAAAACGGCCCCCAAGCGGTCCTAAACCCTCTTGGCCCAAACACCCCAACACCTTGGCAGGTACCTCTGGGCTTCGAACACCCGGCCACAGCGGCAAATGCAACTCTAAGGAAAGAACTTTGAAAATAGTAACAGCTGCAGTCACAGGAGTGTTGGAAGGCCATGTTATCATTGGTAGCCAATTACGATCCGCATCATGAATGTTTTGGTGATAAGCGGCACGATTACCATCCACTGTATCATGGAAGATCCCTTCGAGCCACTCAATCCAGACAGGCTGCAAAGCGCATCAGCGGCCTCTGCCCTCCTTCCACGGAGAAAGCAGAAGCATGGGGATCAAATAGACCAAAGCGCTCCTACGTCCAGATCTGAAACGGAACTTCCTGGAGCCTGTAGAGAGCGGGTATTGATCACAGGGTATGGTATGTACAGCTGATGACCTTCAAAAGGAGCCCTCATGGAGCAGCACGCCGTTGGCGTACTACTCCTCTGCTCACTCTGGCTCACTTGACCTCCTTCCATCAGACAAAAAATCCTCTGGGCTGCCTTCGTACTTGTTATTCAACAACCGGACAAACCCCCCTCAACCCTAAGCCTCAAACCCAAAGCCTTGACCCCCAAAACCCCTACACTCTGAACCTCTGAAATCCCCCTACCGACCCTCAATCCTAGACCCTGTTCAAAACCATTTTAAACCCTTAACCCTAAACCCTAAGCAGCAAAGGCACTTCTCGGGGTCGGCGCTCGGTAGGGCCTCCGCTGTTGCAGCTTTCCGGGAGACCCCAGTCCTTGACAGGAGTTTTTAGGGGGACTACGAGCAGAAATGGCAATAACAACCATGGTGATGATACCGAACCATACAACTCTACTCACATCTGTCTATGAATCATAACATCTCTAGGAAGTGAAACTTCTCAAGCAGCATGGCAACTCATCTGTGCTTAGGACTTCATATCCCTTCATCCGTCCGGGGACCTCGCATGCCTCATAGATGGCTGGTGCAGCAGCCTGACACTGAGGCCTGCAAAAGCTTCGGCAACAGCCCTACGTGCGGCACTTAAAGCATCCGATCACGGAGCTCGAATGCTATGATTTCCTGACAGCCACTGCTACCACGGCTGCTACTACTTGGAACACTACATCATGGGCTTCTAAAAATACCTGGAGGTCCTCAAAAAGCTTGGTCTGGCTGGGGAGCCTGGAGAAGTGCAGTCGAGAAGGTACTCGGCATAGCAGCGTGCCAGAAGGAACTGCGCTTGCCAGCTTCACCCCGGCCACCTGGGCATAAAATTTGTCTGCAACGGTCGATTCCTGACAACTACGGTAACGAAGCTATGGCTACGACAAAACTCAAGAAATCCCGCAATCCATGCAGAAATTTGTTTTCCCAAGAAGCCACTCACAAGCTAACACAGCAAGCCGACACACCCGAACAGATGACCTGAGGGCCGAGAGCTCCCTAAGCCTCCAATATCCCACAACCAGCAAACTTAGCTTCCAAGCCCAAAAGCCGAGGGGCTGGCAGCTCAGGCGGCTCTGCAAAGCATAGGGCCTCATTTTTCATTTCTACGGTATTCAGGGGAAAAACAGCCAGTTTACTGCTCTTCCCGGACAAGTTCATGGTTGAGCCGTAGCTTGTGGCTACGGTTCCAATTTACATTCATTGCTGTCGCAACTTGTAGTGTTCTTCTTGTTGCCGCTACCGCTACCTTTTCGGCTACTCCTGCTGCTGCTGCCGGCCCCGCTGCTGCTCCTATTACTCCTACTATTCCTGCTCCTCCTCCTACTACTACCACCACTACTACTACTGCTACTGCTGTTACTGCTACTGATATTAATGCTACTGCTACGACGCCGCCGCCGCCAGCGACGACGAGGACGACATGGACGTTCATGTTGACGTTGTCTTCTTCTTCTGCCTTTTTCTTCTTCCTTTTTCTTCTTCCTCTTCTTCTTCTTGATCGTCTTTTTCTTTGCCTCCTGTATCTTGTATCCCGGATATCCCTGCAATGAATGCTAGCTGCTGCTTCCCCTTGCATGTATGAATTCGACCGGACCTTCCAAAGGATACGTGTCCAACGATCAGCCGGGAAAAAGCCTGGACAGAAGGGGTCCCTCCACTGAGAACTTTGGCTACCCTTTGAAGACACCAAATCCCTATGCGCCCTGGAGGTTCTATAACTGGGAGGCCACGTGGAAAGCCTACCATTATACCGAGACTCTGAATACTGTTTACTACCATAAATTATGACAACTAATGCTAGTACTATTACTATTACTCTGACAAATACAAGTACTGTTACTATGACAAGTACCACTACTATCACTGTTACTGTTACTTGCTATTGAACTTAATTTTGCTAGTACTATTACGATTACTAATTACTAATATAACCCCAATATACCCCTAATATATACCCTATTATAATACAGTAGTTTCCATCTTCTTTTCCATTATTCCCTATATAACCCCAATATAACCCTTATAGAACCCCAATATATGCCCTATTAGAATATATTACGATTACTAATTACTATTACCATCACTGACCCTAAACCCTGGACCCTAAACCCTAAACCCTAAACCGGGGGCCTCATGCCACGTGGCGCCTGCTCCTCGCAGCGCCGCCGCCACGGTGGTGCGCGGGGCGCCGCCCAGGCGAGGCATCCTTGCAATAGATCATGGGTATATAAGGGGTATATAGGGGTTATAGGGATAATGGAAAAGAAAATGGAAGCTACTATTTGGAGTTTTGGGTTTAAGGTTTCCCAAAATTAGGGGTATCATTTTGGGGGGTCCCAATAATAAGGACTGTAATATATTGGGGTCTATATTAGGGTCCCCCTATTTTGGGAACTACCATATCTGACCATATTGGGTTATGCAAGGGCATATAGGGATTATATGTTGGGTTATAGGGGGGCTTCTAAATAGGCATTATAGAGGGTTTAAAAAGATTAACCCCATGAAGGAGACTCAAACAGAAAATCTAGATCAGACCACAAGTTACGAAGGGTGTTCTTTACTGTAGGTGAAGACACTCCAGGAGCCCGGAGGGGAGAATAGAAGTTTATAAACCAAATGGAAATGGAATGGAAACTGGAGCTTTCTGGCGCGATAAAAAGGCATGTATAAGGTTGTTGTGGAAAAGCAAATCGAAAAGAACGCCCAAATTGAATGGAAACTGGGTTCACACGCACAGTTTGAGGCTAGGATTTAAGGTGCATGAAGCATGAGATTCAGAAAAATGACAATGATAGTTGGTTACCATGAGAGGATGACATTGCAGTAACAATGAAAATAAGATGAGACAGGGTCACAACGGAAAATTGAAATTAAATCACTGGCAAATACGACCGAGTATGGTAAGACAAGTGACTAGTGGCAGGCATGTGACACCCGGCGACTATGATCAGGAGCAATGAAAATATCTAAGTGAATACAACCGTAAAGCAAACTGAGAGCCCAAGGCTGGTGATTCCTACTCTGATGGCAAGGCTCTCTGCCTGTTGGTGAAGAAGAAGAAGAGCGAAAGAAAACGAAGGATGTGATGGCCTCTGCCAGCAACCACGATGAACAACATTGCAATGATTCGGTCCTGGGTGCGTCCGTGCGCCGACGCTTGGCTTCTTCTCCTCAGCATGGAGAACCTTTAGTTTTGCCGGTACTACGTACCTCGTTATAACTTGTTCGGGGACTCAACGTGCAAGCATATGCCTTGAGCATCCCACCTGCCATGCTGCAGGCTAAACGCGCATGCCTTCTTGCTAGGCAACGATACTTGTAACCGGCGACACCAAAGGTAACTGCATGTAAATTTGAATGTCATTCTGATAAGGGAAAGTCGAACAAAGAACACTGATCTCAAAAATACCGATAGGAATGAGAACCATCATCGGCATCAGCATACTGGCAATGGCAGCCCTGCTTCCACTTCTTGTCTTAATGTCGCATGCGTTCTTCTGCAAAGATCCTTGCGCTGACCTAGATTCAGGTTGGCTGCTTTCATGTGGCGATGTAGGCGCCTGAATGGGCCTGGCTTTGTGGCGGTAGGGTATGCCGTACTCCAATTAGAGAGGATTAGGTCAGGAAGATGTTCCTACTTATTCCCATATCTACAGTAGATGCGCATGTGGGTGCTGGCACGTGTGGCACTTTCTTCAGGCTTGAGCCCAGAAACACCATCTCGGATGTCTCGCCCCTACACGCTAAACCCTAAAGCCTAAACCCTGAACCCTACACCCCAAAACCCTAATCCAGGTCCCCAAACCTGCTGCCAAATGTGAAACACCTGATCTGGTCTCGGCATAGGAGGCAGTGAACCTGCCCCAGGCTACATCCTGGCGTGGGATTTACTTGTCAAGATGCTTGTAAATCGTCATACCAACTTCCCTGCTTCGCTGTAACACAACCCCTGTAAAAACCCTGTAAGGCTGTGACGCAAATTCTTCCATCTTCCATTTGCTTTCCATTTGATGTTCCTTCCTTTTTGTACGTTTCGACACTCCGCTTCTTTGAGGCCCCGTACGTTCAGGGTCATTTCTTCGCAGAAGGACCAAATTACGGCAGACCAGGGCGGACTTGAAGAAAGCAGCTGTCAGTCTGTCAGACGTACATCCGTTCATAAGTAGGGGCATCGCATGCTCGACTAGGGGAAAGACAACGTCTTCCTTACATCAACGAAACCGACCATCCTTACAGCCTTTTAAAGGGGTACCTTTAAAAGGGGGATATAGGGGGATGTATTGGGGTTATTTAGGGACATTTAGGGTTTGGGGTTTCCTAAAATTAGGGGTACCCTTACAAACCTCTACAGTAGTGCTTTAATCAGGTGCGGTAGGCCGCTCAAGCAGTCCGGCCGATTGCCAGCTGTCATGCATATCGAGCTGCTGAAACGTTGAGCAACTCCTGCTACACATACGAGGCTTCTCGCCTCATTCATAAATCTCACGTGGGGATGCCTCTTCTCTGCCCTGGGCGAACGAGCAGCTGTTGCCCACGGAGAATCAAATAAATTCGCGAAGCTCCCAAGCAGAAAAAGCTCTGCTTGAATTCAGCGTCGAGTACATTAACATAACAACAGGGCTCAGTCGTCTGCTTCGACCACGGCCCCTCTGCTGTCGCACTGCTGCCTCTCGGCATACCTTATGCGGGCGATAGTGCTTTGAAAACCAGCTCTGGAGTCTTTGCTGTGCCAGGACATTAGTCCATGAATTGCATTAGCTTGCTGATTGTCCTGGGACGCCAGCCGTCTCAAAACAGCGAACTGAAGCCCCAACTGGGGATCCGTCAAAAGTAGGGCCCTCTTACTAGTACATACAGCACAAAACATCATTCAGGGAGCGCTAGTTTGACTCTCACATGCCTGCCCAAGGAGCAGCGTCACTAACTTGAGCTGGCTAGGAGAAAGCTCCTTGGATCAACGCTGCCGCTCCGATGTGTGGGTTGAGTAACTGAGCATCAACTACAGCAGATAGTCAGGATAAAAAAATGTTAGCAGATGATGGTGAGGACGATCTTGGCGAACAAATAATATGCGAACTTTGGACAGAAGCGGCTGCTAAAAGGATTGGGTCACTGTTGGTTATACTCCCTCACACGGGAATGCTGCTGTCTTCACTTCTCCTGGCAGAGTTGGCTTGCCTGGACATAGTTCAGTGAGAAACAACATGATGACTTGCTAAATCAGAACCCCGCGTATTGCTTGCACCTGGCCAGTAGTACTACGCCCCTAGATCTTCCAAACACAATCTTGATGAGGCTCAAGACTTGAATTGACAAACCCGACATAATCGTCCCCCCAAGAGGCTAGAATCAATTGCCTGCGGAGAAGTTCGGATTCAAAACAGGCAGCGCCTCCAAAATAACCACTAATCAGAATACTGACAGAATTGGCTAGTCGGAGCAAAATGCTCCAAGTACGAACAGCAGCTTGACAATCAATGAACCCTGCCCAAGTATCCTGGCGGAAGTAGGTCATCACCTCCTGGATGGGGAATGCTCAGACCCCAACTTTCCACTTTTGCGAGCTTCCAGTCAAAGCTCTGACATGCATCCTAATGGGTGGTTGTCAAAATTATGATCCCTTTTTGGGTACCCGAAATACTTAGGTGCCTTCTCATAATGATCCAAAAAGGGACCGAAATTTTGACAACCACCCTAATGTATTCCACAACAAGGTCCGGAAGTTTAGAAGATGGCCTCAAATTCCTTCAACTGGTCATTGAGCGGGTATCCTATGGCCTTTCTCCTGACGGTTTCAACTTTAGCCAACTCTGCAAGCAACAGATTCTGCAGACTGCTAGTGAAGGGAACGGTTCAGGAGTGAGCAGATATAGTCAAGAACACACCACCCAGGACCCAGGCAGCAGTCCGTTCAGGCCCGCTGCTTTAGAGCCCAAAATTCAAGGCAACACCGGCTCCTCCCCCACGATCAGGTACAAGTCAACTAGGCTGAAGATAGCAGCCTTACCTGGGTCCGATCATCTCTTTGTGGGGTGAACGGCCATATCTACGATCTGCGCGCAGTCTGGGTCTGCACAGGCACATCATGTGTTCCCCGATCGGGATGCCTGCTCAATTACTGTCAGTCAGAGCAACAGTACCTGACGTCCTTCAAGACTAGATCATGTTGCAGTACAGCATTCCCTGTTTAAGCTGACAATTTTGTTTGCAGGAGTAGGACCTTTTTTCAAGGAGTATGGTTGGAGACTGGAGTTTTAGGGTTGAAGGTTTCTGTAGGGTTTCATGCTTTCAGGGGTTTGGTAGCGCATAGGATCAGGTACATGTGCCTTTTTGTTAGAGCTGAAAATTGGGTGGACATCTGGCTTTAGCGTGATGGGGGTGCAGCGTAGCACGATGAGGGTACAGGGTTCGGGATTCAGCTCTTGGGCTCCGGAGAGCCACGATAAGCCCCACTCCTCCGGACTTTTCTAGTATGCTTGGGTTATTCCCCCTGACAGAAACTGTTACCACAAGGGGTAATAGGAATTATAATAGCCCCTTAATAAAGCCCCTTTAAGGACAGTTACTGGGTGGGGGAATGACCCCAAGTATGCCACATTGGGAATGTTTCATGTTAGGGGGGGAAGGGGGTGGGGCTTTGTCACAGCATAAACGGAGTTCACGTCCCGACCCACCAGGTGCCCAGCGCATCTCGGCGGAGTCGCTCTCCGCGGCGCCGATGATGGGCGCGACGATGATGTCCAGGTGCTCCAGGATTTGCCTTGGCGATGAAATCTATGGGCAAATATGACCAAAAAAGTGTTTGGCAAACTTCCGCAAAATGTTGAAGACTGCTTTTTGGGCTCAGGTCTGGGGCTTGCTTGAAGATCTGGATTGAGGTGGTGCCCACTTCTACCCAAAAATGCCACACATGATCATGCAACAAAGAGCGCGACTTAGAAGATGACCCTAAACTCCTGGTAGCCCAGGGTCAAATTGGTAGCCTCGCCTCATAGAGAAGCCTGGCTTTCACTCACAACAACAATGTGTTCCAGCCCCTACAGGGCAAAGACACCCCTAAACGCTAAACCCTAAACCTAGCCCGTAAACCCCGAAGCTTCCATCTGCTGATGCTGCAGCCACGCCGCTCCGAGCGCAGGCGGCGCAGCGCTGCAGCCAGCAGGCCGAAGTTCTGGGAGACCTAGATGGGGCGTATGTGAGCTACAGTCTAAACTCCGTAAAGGAGGGTTGTATGGGGGATGATATAGGGGGTATTAAGGGGGCCTACCAGGAGTTTAGGCTATGGCTCATGGGAGCTACAGTCAATATTCCCAGAAAATCCATGGACAAGGGTTCCCTCGTGTGAATCCGGTGTTTTCCGAAGATGCTGAAAGAACAGCGCCAGAAACATAACAGAAGCAACACTCGTAACAATAATCATGATCGGAACGCTGCCCACGCGACTGTGCTGGAGTGGCCTGTTTCTATAGCACGTTCCATCAATGGTAGACACGTCTCCAATACAGTAAGTCACTGGTTCTTCTTAGGCAACATGCGGATATATTGCATGGGGATTATATAGGGACTGTATTATCCTATTCCGGACCAATAACTTGTAAGGTAGGTCTTCTGGGGAGCAAGGGGACTTCGGGTGGCTTCAGGTTTTGGTTTCCAGGTTTGACACATAAGGTCGATCTGTTGGACGTCAAAATGTCCAACCCCAGGACCCTAAACCCTAAAGTCCAACTGCAGGTTTGGGTGCCCAAGGATTCAAACCTCAGACCTCAGCGCGTTTTCACTTTCTATTCTGGGTCGCTGTTAAGGAATTTAGATTTAGTTGCCATGCTACGGGTATACAATTCATAACAAAGTTTCCTTATTATAGTACCTTAATTCAAATTCCTTAACAGCAACCCATCATTTCAAGCCCAGGGCCAAGGTTAAGTAGCCAGACCCTCTTTGTTCACTTGTTCTCTGGCAGCTGCACTGCGAGCCCAGAAAAAGTGCAACGGCCTAAGACCGAGATGCTTAGCAGAACATGTGGGGAACTGTCAAAATT